CCCCAAAACCCCAAAACCCCAAAACCCCAAAACCCCAAAACCCCTCGCGTTGTTCATAGTATTGTGAGGACTAATTAAATTTTGTTTCTAAGTTATAAACATAGAAACCAGCTGATCTGTTCTTGCTAAATTATTCCTTAGCTAGGGTTACATCGAAGAAGTAGGAGAAGAGGATGCCAGAATCTGTCAGCTTCGCTATGAGAAGTTTAAACAGATTCTTGCTAATTTTAAGCTCTCCTCTCCTTTTTGCTTCATCCACCTTGTCCATCTTGACCTTGATCATGACGTTCAAGATGCTGGTTGTTTTTGGAGGGATTTTTAGTGTCCCAGGCATACAGAAGAATTCAAGGTACTCGTTCATGGAGAACTCACCCTCTTTGTTTTCCCCTATTTTGACAAAGCTGAAGTCCGCCTCTAGCTCTTTAGACCCATTGTTCCTAAACTGAATCCTGAACTTTTGAGTTCCAGAGGTTGGCTTCAAAGCGAGTGGCACCTTGTTCTGTTTTGTGTTGATGTCATAGACTTGTTTGCAACAAATCAAGTTTGGAGGGTCGACCACACCGCATAGCATGACCTGTATCTGCCTGTTTTTCATTGATTTTTGGAATGAGATGTCTCCCTCCTCTGTTTTTTGAATGTGCTTTATGTTATATTTCTCTTTCCCATCTATTCCATGAATCTCTAAGTTCAAGAAACTCAGAGAGACAACCTTGTCCTTTGGCTGCAAAGTTTTCAGTACTATAATGAATTCCTGTTCACAATGAGGGCCAAGTTTCAGAGTGATTTTCTTGGTCAAATCTTTAGTTTTTGGATTCTCAATGTACCAACATTCACTCTTATTCTCTGAGTTAGGAATATACCTCTTCTTATTTTCAAGAGTTAGGGATTTCTGTTCGTCTGTGATGCACTCGGCTAGTTCTTTGTCGTTGAGTTCAATTTCATCTTGAGCAAGCTCATCGATGAACTCGAAATCTTTGTTTTTGATTATTTCATTTTTATCATAAATTTCTGTAGTGTTGTCCAAGCTCAAGTCGATTGTCTGCTCTGAGTCTGAGATGTTAGACACAACAAGGATGCTTCCAAGAAGTTTCCCTGGATTTACAACACCATAGTTGAGGACTAGCGAGTCAACCTTGATGGCTTCGTTGATGTCAGTGATGGGTTTCTGCTTTATCTTATCTGAAGCCCCTAACAGACTTTTGAGACTCTCTTTATCAGCATCATTTGTTGGTCTTGAAGTGCTCTTCTTAGATTGGAGGGCTTTTCTGATCTTTTCCTTCGTATTTTCTTCCTCTCTGTCTTCACACTCCTCCTAAAGATTTGTTAGTATTGTAGTTTTAGAAGTATCAGTAAGAGAATTTTCTTACCTTTTTGAGGTTTTCAGTTGAGCGTCTTGGAACATCTTGCTTGTCTTCACTCTCGTGTTCGAAGCTCTCAGCATGATGAGTTAAAGTTTTAAAGAACTTTTCAAGTACACGGACTGCATACTCTTGGCCTTCTCTTCCCTCGTAGAAGATTTTAGAAACCTCAATATCATCATCTTCCTCATCTGGATTAGCAATCTCAAGTTTGTGGTATAAGTCTCTTTTCATTTTATGAATTAGGCCAACGAAATTATTTTCAGGAATTGTGTCGTTAGTCGAATGAGATTTTCTAAATTTTAGAGGTTCGGCAACCTTTTTCTGTTTGGTGCTACCTCCAAGGAGAGCCTTGAGCCTATTTCTGGCATTCTCTTCTTCCTCAGAAGGATCTTCGTCAGAGTCGCTATCCTCATCATCACAATTTGACTGAATTTTTGACTTTGAGTTACTAAACTGTTTCATAGCTTCTTCAAGCTTTTTGTTATTTAGAAGTTCATCTTCTGGAGGTGCATTCTCATCATTAGGATTGTTCTCTTTGGGCGAAGCAGCATTCTCCTTTCCTCCTCTTGAAGTGCTTGATCCTTTATTTAGAGAGTCTAAATTATGTCAAAAGCTGCATAAAATTTGAAATAGAATGCTGGTAAATTCCGACTTTCTCTTAAAAAGGCAAAATAAAATTAAATAAATTTTAATAAAGGGTCATTTGATTTCAGAAAGAGTTCACCAAAGTGAAACCCGGTATTTTGCCAGAAACCAGGCTTAAAGCACTAGAGAATAGCCTACCCGAATTCTTAAAATCAAGTTTCTGTCTGAGTGCTTCCCTAATATTATCATCTTTCTCGCCTAAGGGGAGGGACTGCCTGGGGATGAGGGCTGTTGTGTTTTCATCCCTCTGAGAATGACTGGGTGCATTCTCACTATCTGAAGTTTGAAGTTGATTCATAATGCTTCCTCCAATTTAACGAAATTAAATTATTCAAATTTTTAATTTAAATTCGGGGTTTTGGGGTTTTGGGGTTTTGGGGTTTTGGGG